CATAACACGCGCACTAATTTTTCCTACGGATGTAAGCATAACTTACTGATTACTGGTATTTCGGGCATGTAAAACATCTAAAAACACTGTTTGCTTTCAAATATCTGAAAGTGCTTCCCGCTACTGGGTGTCTTGAGACTGATTTCAATTGTGACGTTCTTTAGTAATGTGTAAGCTCCAATCAAGATTTAATTGTGTTTTAATCTGGCGCGGTTAATTTTTGTCGCGGATTTAAGTGTTCTCTCTGGTTTATTACGTCGGTTCTCTGTATGTAGTGTAATGGTTGTAGCACTGGTTTTTTAGTCAGGAGGTCCGGGGCCCACTCTCGGCTAGGCGATCTGAACTTGATGGTGTTAAACAACGGTGTTCTTTCGGGACTGTTAAGTTGGAACACAGGCAGGGAGATTGGGCTCTAATTTAAAGCGGAGGGATATCGCTTACGAGGTATTTGAAGTGGTAAACAAAAAAGAATTAAAGGTGTGCCTAAAATAATTGTAATTTTTCCGAGCAGAATGTATGTGTGAAGGAAAGAGGCCATGGGCTGATACGCACGTAGAAAAAACAGTCTTCCTCGAAATTTCTCTCTACAGTTAAAGTTTCCATTTAAACTCGGATGAATCCCCCCTCTCTAAACTGACGGATAGAAACTCAATCTCATAAATTACTGAGAGATTACACATTTTTTGGATATTCTATCTAAATCCAAACCCACCATCACATCTACACTGAAAACAAAAAAATTCTTGAGATATATTGACTTAGAGCGTCCTTTATTTTTGACAAAATTTGGTTTTTTTAAAGTTACATCCGTGCGGATTTCCCTTAAAGTCAGTTTTTCGAGTTCAAGAAATGTTGTTTTGGTATCGTTTTTTTTTATCAAAACTTAACGAAACAAAACAATGTTTCTTTAACTCAAAAAAACTAACTTTAAGTTAAATCCACACTGGTTTAACTAAAAAACCCAATTTTGTTGACAAGAAACGACCCTTTCAGTAAAAATAAAGAAAAAATATTTTCAGTGTACGATAGTGCAAAAATCCATCTCTTTTCCATGCCACGGTTTGCGTAGCTCTCGCTGAAACTGACGTTTAAAGATTTAAAACGATCTAACTACCAAAATAAACCATGAAAGTCAACAACTTACCGTATGGAATTCACTCGCATAACATAAATTGGAGGACCTCGGTAAGGAACATTAAACAAAAATCTGACTTTGGCTGTTATAATCCGGCGCTAACGCCTTAAAAGCATCTGGTAGATTTCAAGCTTAACATCAAGAAAATGCAAAAAGCGTTGAGCGCCTCATCTAAAGCTCAAGCGACAGATAACATCCTCGTTATGACAGACGAAAGTCTCTTGTCATTCTCACAAGACGCTGTTTTTTGTACAACAATTCGCTCAGACGAGACTGAAATTAGAGAGCCCACAAAAGTCCCGTTGCAACATTCTGCGGGGCAATTGAGCGTTTCTGCCGCTCCTGCACCCCACTCAAAAATGGAGCGAATTTCATCGCAGTCTGAAAACTCCGGCCGTGCGCCCCACTTTTAATAATGGGGCTGAAATTAACAGGGCGAGGATTTTTCCTGAGCTGGAGGTAGAGTTACGGAACGGTAACTGTTCGTAATTACAGGAGTGTTGTCAGATGAGTTGCCAAGTTTGCCTTTTCATACCGTAGACCTCGCCTGCTCCCGTGACATCATCGGTGAAATTATTTGATACTTGGCAACGCCATTTTTCCATTGTATCGATTTTGTCACCAAAGGTATGTAAAGCATGATGTTATGACAAATATATGCCCAGACAGGGAGACATACATCGTTAATTCGTTAATAGGATGCTCGCTGGGACAAAACTACATGCTCCATTCTCTTTAGCTTTGCTCTGCAGCTTCATATTACTGGCGTAGCAAGGAATTTTTTAAGGGGGGAGAGGATCCGTGACGGTAAATTTACATTATTTTGTGTACGTCCCTGATAATATTTTACTAAGGGGCTATTCGCCCTGGCCGCTACGCGGCCTAACCCCCAGATGGCGCTTCGCGCTCTAGGTCCGCGTCGACAGAAGGATGACCAAAGAAAATGAAAAGATTTTCATACCTGACTCCAATTTATCCAATCTCCCTCTGGCCGGGAGCAATTGGACCAATAAGAATCGAATGAAAAAATCGTCATTTATTTCAAACTTCACGCCAAGACTTACGCGAAACGGAACGGAGCGTTTCGTCACTTTTGGATAGTCTGTAGCAAAGGAGAATACCTCCTATTCGTTTACCCTACTACCAGACCAAGATTCAACTTTCCCGCTTACTTCAATTTTCCGCTAAATTTGAAAATACCGCCTTGTTTCATCAGCGGGAATTTCAAATTTTGCCCCCCTTTCTAGGCTTTCTGGTCTTCTCTAATTTAAAAACACCTGGATCTTATTTCCAAAATCTGATTAAAGCGGGCTTATCTAGGGACTATCATCGGTCGATAACCACAAAAATCATGGAAATCGGCCCAGTAGAACGCTCTAACGAACTATGACAAAAAATAAAAAAATGCATTGTTTAAATGGGAGAATTTGCAGCTTTACCACGTAATATAAAAAAACCTGGGTCATATTTTCAAAATCTGAATAGAGCGGACTCATTCAGAGGCAATTGCCTGTCAATAGCCGCAAAAATCATGAAAATCGGCCCGGTAGAACGCTGGAACTAAGCGTTACCAGATATGCAAATTCAGGAGGTTTCTGAGCTTATATATATGATGTCTGCCCTCCAATAGTGAAAAAAGGTAAAATTAACGAGGCTAAGGGGGTTGGGGGAGCAGACCCCTTGGACATCCCCCCCCCTCTACGCAACTGCCGCAATTATGCGGCTGAGAATTATTGCAAGATTCAGGGTCCCTTACAGGGAACTACAAGATTGCACAAGCAAGAATTTTTAATAGCATCTGTAATTTCTTCGTAAGGGGTGCCCTAGTTTCTTTCCTATTTTTCTCTCTTGGGAGCAATAAATCGTAATTCTCGCGCCAGGGTGTATCCACAAAGTCTTTTAAGCACTAACCTCTCGGGCAAGGTATACGTATTCACCTCTTGCACCCTTGAGCGAATGCTATTTAGACTCGGGGTATAAATTCGTCCGATGAATTCCACCTGATGTTTTACCCATGGATGTAAGATGGAGGAACTCCGGCAGCACGAATGCTTCAGCCGAAAAGATGAATGGAACAGGGAAGCAACAAATACAATGCAGACCTGATGCTGGGAAAATTTGGAGCGGAGCCAACTTGTAGCTCAACCGCGGTTGACAGGCTCGGATGATAAGTCGCCCACCAATTCGGAGCGTTATAAGGGCGGAATAAGGGTGGCTCCACACTCAGCGGGGCGTCCCGGTGGTTAACTCAGCGACGAATAATCGCTCAATGCCACAAACGCGTCTCGCAAACAACACAAACGTATTGAGACGTCGTATCTCGCTTGAATCGTTGTCGTCACGAGCTCTAGCACTTTAGGGGCACGGAATGGCTGAAATGGAAAATCATATCTGGTCGTCCATTGCAAATCTATGTGCGCAAAAAGGGTGCCCCGTCTTTACTCTCTGTGGCCAATCGCCGTTATAATTTGAGGCTCCCGTGACGCAGATTTTCCGCCAATTCCTGCAGAATAATGGACCACTAGACAAGATAGGAATTTCAGCATTCTGAAACATGTTTCTTAACCAACATTTCACGTAGAACACGATGCGCTCAACGAAAATTACCGAAATTAACTCCTTACGAGGATATTTAATGATTCTTGATGCGTGAATTCAAACCACCCGCTCATGAAAACTCAATGCTTTACGTGATTCACATCGCGCGCTAAACGTTATTATGACAGTATCTGCGATTTAAAAATCTGGCAGCCTCAATTTTGAAGCTTTGGCTCAGCTATAGCAAATTGCTTATAGTTTGAACAACACATGGTGGGAAATGAAAATTACTCGATTGAGATAAGCTTACTGAAACCAGTGCAGTGCGCGATTTGACTCACGTGGAGCTTTGAGTTTCTTGTGAGCGGGCTGTTTAAATTTCTCGTAACCAATGTGAAATAAAAACGTTGAAATCTTCGTTAGGAGTTAGTCTCAGTAATATTCGTTACGCTAATCGTGTTCTACGTGAAATTCTGGTTAAGAGACATGTATCAGATTGCTTAAATTCGTAGGTACCTTGTCTAGTGGTCCATTACGTTTCTTTTTTACTTTCAGCACAAAATACTTTCGAATCATTGCATTCAATAGATTCGGAAAATTTATAAAAAAATATTAAATCTACTAGGGCACATTTTGAGGTTTTTGTGATGAAAATTCTAGAAAATACTAACAACTGCATGAACACAAGGTTTTTATTTAAGACTCTACGTTAAGAGAGATAATTATACTCAGTGAGGGGTTTTCCCCACCATCTAGAATTTTGGGAGGAGGGGGGGCAGATGATACTATTTTCAATTCTAAAAGGGGCCTGGACCCCCCTTCGTACGCCCCTGAAGTTCGGAACTTCCTTCACGTTTCTGTTTGGTTTTTTCTCATCTCTCGTCGACCTAGATGTTACCGCTTGATGATTAAACACATTGATCATCGATAACCATGGCTTTTTAACCACCTCAGCAGTGGATTCAAAATGGACTTATTTCTATCAATGTATTATACTATGTGCATGAAGACATGATCCCTGAGACCCATAAGAGTATGTGCTTAACAGGGCCCACGTCATAATGCACATAGTTCCGTTTGATAGAAATACGTCCAAATAATCTATTAGAAACTTAAAATATTGCGGTTTGACGTCACCAAAGTTGAGGTTTGAATACAGAATAAAATGTGCCGTAAAACTAGTTTCAGACCTTGAAATAAAATTCACTCTTTCTTTTAAAACCTCTCTGAAATAAAGTAAAACATCATGCCATTAGGTACTCCAAAAATATGCTTTAAAGATGTGCGGAAAAAATCATAATGAAGTTTCTACTTTCTTTTGTTTCAGCACCGCGACTTATGATGCGACGACGAAGCAGCAGGCTGGGCAGTTTTACCGACGATGGAGAATGTAAGTTTCAAAATGTTGATTACTTTATTACGCGTTTTGGTAGTTAACCCTACAAGAATTTCTTTTGAATGGTGAGTGAGATTACCATTTTTTGCTCCTCATTCAATTGTAAATGGAGAGACTTGAAGAAAAAATTCGTAAGCGCGGAATATGATGGGGGTCTGATTTTAAAATAATCTTTACCGAGATCATGCGAAATTGAACGGTTTTGACGGACACAGAACTAGACTAAATATATAAGACGTTGCCTAATTTCCACCCAAATTATTTAAATCGAAGAAAATTTTCTGACAAAATTTGTCCTTAGTTCTTTTTTTACGCTCTACGGCATTTTCACTGAAAATCTCAGGGCATAAAGTTGCCCCAATTTTGGTCTAATGAGAAAAATACGCGGGAAATTAGATGACATTAATTTCAGTCGAGCCGGTTCTACTTAAAGTTAATCAAAGTAATGTACACCGGAAAATATTAAAAAGCAGGATGAAAAATGAGGTAAAATGGAGGACAAAGCAGGATCATAAGAACAATTTCAGCTTCACTTTAAACTTTGCTCTTTCAACAAACTCCTGCCGGCTATGATTATTTTCTACGCAAAAATAAATTTGCCAGCTCCCACGGGACACTGACCTTTAGTCCGCATGACCTTCACTTTTTTTAATTTCAAAATTAAGAAACATCTCAAGCACAGAGATAAAACTATTTGCAATTGATAGATGTTCATGTTGCATCTGAAAAATTGAAGACGCGATGGTGCGAGGCGTGTACGGGCAATGCACCGATCTTTGCTACCAATGAGGTGTCATTCAGATTCGGGACAAAAATTAGAAAATCGAGGCCGTATCCCATCTTCTTATCTTCGGCGGTGTTGCTCACGTGGCCCTTGAAATATCACCACAAATAAGACAACCGTTGGATTAAGAGCAAGGAGAGACGCGGGTTGACGACGGCGCAGAGATACAACTATTCGTACTTTATGGATGTCCGTGTTGCATCTACAAAATTGAAGGCGCGATGGCGTGGGGCGTGAATTCCCAATGCTCCGCTTTATTCTGCCAGCAAGGTGTTACTCAAAAATAGATCGCAGATGTGAGGCTTGATCAATGGAGAGTAATCACGACAAAATAATAAAAACTCAAGGGAAATGGACATTCTCATACGATATTGGAGAATCTGGATATTTGCAGTATTTACATTGCAGCAACTTGAAATACTTGTACTTTTCGGAGAGGGGAGGGGGTGGAAAAATTTACATAAAACTTCACATGATTCATGACAATACTACGAGTAAAATTATAAATTCAAAATTAAATTATGAGTGTAAGAAGACAGGCATGAGTTTCTCAGACATTAAGAAACATATTTTATCAATATTCATGAGATACGCTATTATGTAATCAAAGTTGCCAAGAATAAAAAAAAACAACGCGAAAGTAATAACAAAGCTGGATTCAGTCTCTCCTATCTTCGGCGGTGTTGCTCTAATGGCCCTTGAAACATCACCACAAATAGACAACCGTTGGATTAAGAGCAAGGAGAGACGCGGGTTGACAACGGCGCAGAGATACGACTATTCGTACTTTATGGATGTCCGTGTTGCATCTACAAAATTGAAGGGGCGATGGCGCGAGGCGTGGACTTGCAATGCTCCGTTGTATGCTACCTACAAAATGTTACTCAAATTCGGAGGAAATTTTAAAAAAAAGGCCGGATCACATCTCTCCTAAATACGGCTGTGTTTACCTTCCTTTTTTTCAATTTGACGTCTGATTCTTTTTTTAGGATTTGTTTGTAGGCCTAAGCGCTCGTATGTACAGGCCTCACATAACCCACGAGCCAAGTGTTTTAGCAAGCCTCGGGTCAATTTGACCTAGCTTGGGCATCAAAGGGTTCGACACACAGCCTGCAGAAAATTTAATTTAAATTTTTTATTCTGCAATTCAGTGCGCAAAGTTTCCAGATCGTTATTAATCTTTAAGCCATCAGTCAACAAAAAACTAACATTAATCACTCACAGCGTATTGTGCAATGGGCTAGAGAGAGACTACTGTGTCGAAAATTCAAACACCTAACTTGACAGATATCTTTCTATGAAAAATTGGATATGGTTATTCGAAACAATCGCATCATTATTGTCACATCGACATTAGTATCGCATCTACATTATCAAAGTTTTGCACCAAAAACTTCGGTTTTCTGAACTGAGGCTCGGTTTCTACGACTGAAAATCTCATGTCGCCTTTTAAGTTTTTGAAAGGAAACCCACTAAGATCCCAACTTAAAAATTTTTGCAATTTTGTTTGCACATACGATGGTTATTCACAAGAAAGTTTAAGCGTAAATGATGGACCGTTTCCTTCCAAAAATTTAAAACAGGAGATGAGATTTTGAAACGCTGCATTGTGAACGTGACGTCTATCGCTTAAGTCTATGCAGTTTTACATTTCTCATGTCTCCTTTTAATTTTTAGGAGGAGAACGCAACAAGATCTCAACTCGAAAATTGTTGCAATTTCCTTGCCCATACGATGGTTACTTACACGAAATTTTAAGCGTAAACGGATTACACTTTGCAGTAAGGAACCACTATCTCCGGCTCTTCCATAAAAGCACGTATCTGCATGGGAAAATCAATGGCGTATATCGAGGGTTAAACTACCAAACCACGTATCTCGTTTGCGGTGTTTAAAAATCTACGCTCACATTTTATTTTTTTGAAGTAGACCAAATCAATATCATTCCTTGAAATTTTCACGGAATTTTTTCCGCACAAAGAGGAAAAATCACAGAAATTTTCAAGACTGGATGTTAAGTAGTTTTTCATTTAAAAAATAAAGTATGACAGGAAGTCTGCGACGTCGCAAACCGAGATACGTGGTTTGGTAGTTTCACCGTCGATATGTTGCTTCTAAAATGAGCCAGAAATAGTGGTTCCCTATTGCAAAATGTAATCCAAATGTCGGATCGTTCCCTTCCAAAATATCCAGATGTGATTTTGAAACACTGCAATGTATGCGTGACGTTTGATGCTGATGCTTAAGTCTATCCAATTTTACATCCATGAACCGAGGTCTATTCTCACGGGCTGTCACGATTAGACGAAACATTTGATACTTGAGACACATGTTTTTTCTGTTTGTAATGTGCTCATATCCAGATGAAAAATTCATTCCAAGAAATATATCCTCCCCATGGAATCGCGCTTCGTTGTGAACATACAGTTAAATTCGTTCAAGTGATGATTATGCTTTTTTTATGCGATAGGGGCGCCACCGTCGCAGCGAGTGCAATTTATCCTGGGCGAGGACGGAGACAACGACTCCCACGAGTCGCACCCCCTTTTCTCCGAAATGGAGGAGCTCATAGGAGACGGTGACTCAGCCGAGTGGAAAGAAACTGCCAGGTAACGTTGATATCCACGAAAAAGATGAGGAGGAAAGAAACAATATTAAAAAATAATTAAAATTGGAATCTTCGCTCTTGCGAATATTTTTTATATCATATATTTAAGAGATAGATACAAATTTTTAAGAGCAGCCCAAGAAAATGATAACAGTGGAAAAACAAGGATGAAAAAACGGGAAACAAGGCTAAAAATACACGATTTATGAAACCCACGACGTTTCGACTCAAAACTGAGTCATTTTCAGTCGGAAACAATAAAAATTTAAAAGAAGAAACGATAAAAAACCTGAGGCCTACATGGTGGCGGCCGGGATCTGAGAGAAAGAAA